AAGTTTGAAAAATCAAAATTCAGATTTGTATTTAATTAATTAAAAATATTTATTAAATAAATATATTAAAGTCACAATTAAACAATTAATGATCATAGATTTATTTACTAGTCACATATCATCAAATTAATTGGTCACAGATTTATTTACTGGTCACATATCAAAAATTTTGTAGGTTACAAATTATTTCGAGATCACAGATAAAAAATTTTAGAGGTCACAAATTTTTTTAAGTCACAGATTATCAAATTTCAAGATCACAAATTAATTTTTTAGTCACAGATTGTCAAATTTTAAGGTCACATGCCAAATCGTTGATCACATATACCAAATACCCCACTGCCAAACCCAATTCACCATCAATGCTTGGTCAAAGAGCAACCAAATGATCACCATCGCCACAACAATGTCGCCACCACTAGATCCAACACATTGCCAACAAAGATCACCACAACCACCACTATCAAATCCACTGCCATCGCCGCCACCACCACTGTAACTGCTGTCAACACCATTTTGCAACACCACCATCACATCATACCACCACAAACAGATCACACCAGTCATCACCACTACCACCTGTATCCGACCTAGATCCACTGTACCACCACCATCGCACCATCACCGAATACACCACACACAATCGCAACCTGCCTCCATCCCCAAAATTCGAAGCCCCTAGATCGAAGTTCGAATAGTACGACATAGCCAAATACTGCAATGCCGCTCATCAAACAGCACAGGCAGAGTCACGCAATGTACCAGATCCCGCACAATGTTTCTCTCGATTGCAATAGAGAGGAGGAGAGAAGGTGGAACGCACCGATTTCATCGACGGTGCTTTTATCTCACATCAACGCGGGGCCTCAAAGCTACGCTTGAGGTGTCTTCAGCTACGGGTGCTCCTCAATGATGACAGCCATTTGTGACAGATGATAGAGAGAGACGAGATATGAAGAGAAAGGAGAGTCAAGAAGATAGAAGAAAACTGATAGGATACACTGTCGGCGGCGGATGCTGTGAGAGAATGTAGAGAGAGAGAGAGAGAGAGAGACGAGATATCAAAAATGATAGGGTTTGTGTGGGATTAGGTGGGTATAAAATTTAATTATTAATTCAATACCTGAATTTTGATTAAAACAACTTTGTACCTTATTTTTGCACTTGGAATTGAAACACCCGTGTTTTTGTAATTTCCACCTTTTTTAAAAAAAAAAAATCCTACCAACTACATTCAAAACCTCCAATAATTATCCCACTAAATCAAAACCCAAGCCTCCTCTTGAATTCTTAACAAAAGTGAGGATATGTATCAATATTACTGTCAATTTGAGTGCACTCTATATCCCTTTCTTTGGGTCAAAAGTTCTACCTACTTTTTGAACATGCTGCACACATTTTGGTTGTTATTTTTCTTTGATATTGATGAAATATTAGATTGGCCTTTCAATGTAAAATATGCAAACATCTCTACAAAACTTGTATAGTTTCGGCCCAATCACATAAAATAGGAGGCATGGGTTCAATAAATTTTATTTTGGTTTTCTTTGAGTGAATTTCTATAAAACTTGATTATGGTAAATATCAATCAATTGCTTTTGGTTTATGACTTATGTGGGTTTCATGAATACAGTGTAAGTATTATGCCCTAGGTCCAATCGACTTAGGACATAAATACTTTTAATATATAATTAATGCGATTTAATGACACATCTATTATTTAATTAATAGACAATTAAATTAAATAATAGAACCTATAAATTCAAATCTTCGTAATTTTTTAATCATAAGTAGTTGTGATTGTGAAATACAAATTACATATGATTGAAT